TGGTCTGATATACGGCCGCGATTCTATGTCGATCACTTCAGCATTATTTTAGCTATCTTTTTTTATCCTGAATCGCCATAATTTCGTCTGATTCTTACTATTCTATATCCACATCGGTATTGCATAATAAGGCGCTAGTTTCTGACTCACAATCCGATATATTCGAAAGAGGTTTTACTGGCGCAAAGAGAAGATTGCGGAGTGCAGAAATACTAAGCCAACAAAATGACGTCACAACGCTAGTATCCAGTCCCCCAAAATGGGACAAAAATCAGGGGAAAATTGCTAATTTCAAATAGCTGTAACTTGGCAAGTTTTCATCAGAATTGAAAAATATTTTAGATTTAGGGCTTTCAAATAACGTTCTTTCACTGGACAAAAAACTGTTTTCGTGTCATATGCTCTTTAAGGACTTACTTGCGCTTCTGGACGGCCTTTTTTGTCACCTCTAGAATGAGTATTACTGTTGTTTCGTTTTTCACGACGGCGCCTCCGATTAGGATCGGATGATAACGAGTCGACACGAAGAGGTATTGTTGTAACTTCTGCGAATATGACATAGCAATGACATTGTTTCAGAACATCCAAATGTTCTGTGTATTTTTGCATTTAAAATACTCCATTTTCGAATTCAAAGGGAAAAACCGCTGTTTTATTTGACAGCATATTCTCTTACGTAAAGACCTTACCAAACACAAAAGAGACCACGAGGAAATTTCGTTATTACAATAGCCTTGAAAATTTGCATTTTTCACGAGTTGGGACTAATCCTGTATTCCCGTAAGACCTAAGGTTTAAGTCTTCCGGGCATACAGGGTTAATCTCAACTGGGGGAAAACGTAACTTTTTAGTGCTAAGAACTGCTCGGAAATTGTCGGCCGTTTTCAAAAATCATTATAGTTTATGCCACATTAATCATTCTTACCATTGATAAGCATATTTCTAGATGATTTAGAGTCCGCTTCATATGTCTTGTACAATCTAGAGTTGGTTTCTGCGTTTTCTTCCTCTGCCGTGCCACCAYGAAKGCCAAACCGCTCCTCCATCCTGGGACTCCATCCATGACTGGGTGGACTGTGATTGCTCTCTAAATGAAATGACAAGTGATCATCAATTAATCAATAACTTAACATATAAAGTAGTTGATCTATATAGCAGTATAGCGGACAATGTATAGTATTTATCAGATTTCGTCTGTTCTTCGATCGGCGCACGTTTTCACAAGTTTCAAGGTAAGCACAAAMATAAGTCAGTAGTTTACCAGAGCATGGTTCCTCGTTGCATTTCCGTGATTCTTCATCAGGACCAGAGCAGAATTTTCCTCCATCTTTTGGGGTCGGGTTTGTACATGATCTGTTTCTAGTTTGAATTCCACCACCGCAAGAACTACTACAGTCAGACCAGACCGAGAAGTCTGTCCATCCACCGTCAACTAAAAGGTAATTTAAAACGTATTTTAGTTTTCTTAAGGCTGATTTACACGGCACGATTGTCTTGTGCGATTTGTAGTATACGACTTGAAACGAGCAGTGTAAATGCCCCTGCGACTTGTCTACAACAGTCGTACGCAACCTACGACTTAGTAGTAGGATTTTGAACCACTGCTTAAAATCCTACGACWTGTAGTAGGAAAATCGTATACTACAAGTCGCGCGCGACAAATCGTACCGTGTAAATCAGCCTTTAGAATATACCTAGTTTTCGCATTGGACACACCTCAACATTTTTTACCCCAATTTCCAAAACTACCAAAATGTATCTCGTTTTAAGCTGATTTCTCGATTGATTAAACATCAAAGATGGCGAATTTCTTTGTCTATATCGCGCRAAGGTTCTTGGATGCATGAGTGGGTCTTTAAGTCAAGCCCTTGCATCAAAGCGAGACAGCAGTTGAGGATGTTGTGACTATTTCTTATTTCTAGGAACACCTATTGTTTATCTACATACCAGAACACAGCTGCTCATTGCATGACTTGGTTTCCTYTTCATCACCAGTGCAGTATTTGCCTCCGTTTGAAGGGTAAGGGTTGCTGCAAGTCCGACGTCTTTTTTGTACGCCTCCTCCGCATGATTTGCTACATTGGGTCCATACACTAAAAGCACTCCAACCTCCATCCACTAGTCAATGGAATAAACTTATCATTTATAATTATCGACAAAATATCTATATTTCTCCATTACATTAAGTTGTGAAAATAACACATTCGTGGTATCTTTATATATTGGAGGTAAATAGAAGTTATTTAAAAAAATGACTTGCTTTCATTGATAATTGTAAAATAGACAGAATACTACATTGTTGCTTGGAGTGTGCAATGATAGAACCTTCTTTAACACCTACAAACAATTATTTACAGGTATCTATCATTGAACGCTCAGCGGTTGTCTCGCTTCGATGTAAAGACACGGCTACCTTTCGAAATGGCGTAGGTGACCGTGAAGGGGAATATTAAAGCAAGCTACTTACTTGGGAAATATATGTTCACTATCATTCCCGGACACCCCTTGTCGTTGCATGGTCGATGCTCAGAGGCTTGTCCGWTGCACTTCCTCCCTCCATTCTGAGGGGGCGGGTTGGTGCAGGTCCGTACTCGAGTCTGTCTTCCTTTACCACATGTCCTACTGCAAGCTCCCCAGGCTGAGAAATCACTCCATCCACCATCAACTGTGGAGGATGCAAAAGTTGATTTGAAGTTTTATTTATAGGTAAATGAAATGTAAAATCGGTCTATGTCAATTTTCTKCCATAGACCCTTGGGCATAATCGAACAGCCAATGAAATGTATACTTTACCGGCTCCTCCAATTCTGACATCGCTTGTAGAGCTGTAGCTTGGTGATGGTTTTGAAGCTCTCTCTGACTCCTCAGTATGTAACTTATTAAAAACAAAAAGCAAAAAAAAAAAAACTTCAAGATGATTAAATCGAAGGTAAAACCGAAATAAGGGTGCAATAACCGTTCATTGCACGCAAGAAGATATAAAACACTTTATGGAATTATATTGTTATATTATCATGCAAATTATTTCATCATCCACTTTGCCTTTCTCCGTGTTTGTGTACTCCCAAATTCTTTAATGTTTTTATAATGTCCCACAGACTAAATACTGCAATACTACACGAGTTGATCAATCTAGTTCAGTTCGCATCGCGGACCAACAAGGGCACCATCAAAATGAATGACCGGCACGCTAGGGCTCCTACCTTTTGAAAATCGTTTAATCCAGTTTTTCCAACACTAAATGTGTATACACCTTGGAAGCTGGCAGAGTCTAAAAATTAAGATCATTACGTTAAGCGAAAGCTTCTCATAGGAATCATTTCTTGCCCAATCGGTGGRGGAGAACGAAAACAAGATACAACACTTTTCATCTAGGACACCCATCACGAGATTATGCCCACTTCTCAGGCTGAAAGTGATCACGCACTTCGCAGATGAACAGCGAAGCAAGAGTCAGCGTTATTTATATAAACCTACGATCCAAACGTTAAAGATACGTTCCATTCAAGGACCTTTGCATGATTTTTTTCACCTTTAAAACAAGAGAGGAAACGACCGCAATAGTTCTTTATTGGTGCACGTGGGTCATTAATTAATGCGCATTTTTATTCTAATTTTTACGGCACATAAAAATGAATTACTATAAATCTTTTTATAATATATGGAGCTACACAAGGGAAGAAATATGTGAGAAAAATGTAAGCCATATYGTTTTCTATATTTTACACTAGATATTTCTCAGTTGCTTAACTTGCTTCTGTTTATAACAAAYGGAGTGCGCRCGGCAAGACGCAACACTTGACGTGACTTTACAAGTTGAAAAAAGATACATATGTGTCACAAGTTGTCTATGCATAGTTCCTCGGAAAGCTGCATCATATCACTTTTAGAAAGTTAGTAACCGAGACTTTCCGGCTTTAAACCTGGATATTTCTTGTCTTTTTCGGTGTTTCTAAATCGAGTCAAAGGCATATTTTTCTAAAGCTAGTGTCCGAGTTCTTTCGACTTTAAAATCYGCACATTTATTGTTCTTTTCGTTTTCTATAAATAGTGAGTCACAAAGTGTAATTATATTATGTACGCTTTGTCTGAAATATTCTAGCTAAGTTTTGACATTTGTAAAATCAAGGTTTCATGCTATGTGCTATGCGCGCGCGAAAAAATCTTATTTCAGGAATTAATTCGTCAAAAGAAAAAAAAAAWAAAATAAATATAACACGCCTAACCTGCGATCTTCACAGAGGTAACTGTATACACACTCAAGAGTAAGAAAATTAATACCAAGGTTTTCATTTTCTGTGCAGGTTTTCGTTCGCCATGGTTTTGCTTTGATGTGTCGTCATCTAAKGCTTAAATGACGTCATTACTGACGTCATAAAGGAAAAATGTGGAGAAGTACTGGGACCCAGCACACGAGTACAATAGGCCTATCCATTGAATAAATCTTTATCCAGCGGATACAATCCTTAAAAAATAGTTTGGTTTTGATACCTAAGGGACTTCTTTAACGAGTAGTTTTGGATAGTTTTTGAAGATAAATCCGTAAAAACAATGGGTGATAGAGAGCATTCGGGAATCAAGAAAAAAAGCTCTTTTTTTGTTCCCTCTGTCACTAACATTTTTTTCTCGTCACACGGACCGAATCCGGAGCGTCCGATTCCAGAAGCAGCTATAAGGAGTGCTTTGCAATATCTCCTAAAAACAGCATCACTGGGCTGTAATTCAATATAAGATTGATTGCGCCAGACATATCATGAGTTCTRAATACAGAAACAAGGCTAAAACAAGATGTTCATTGACGTAAAACGAGGAACTGTTATTTTATTCTTTACGTCAGGTCGGTAGTCTATAGCTCTTTTCGTGCGTAGAATAAAAGTAATAATAATAAAAAAACGAAAACAATGAAAATTTTTGTAGTTCATTATCGCACTGAGCCAGGTTTTTGTAACAGATTGGATAGTTAATGATGCAACGAGGCTGTCGTCCTCGTGTTTGCCAAAAGCTCAGGAAACGTTGTGAACAATACTACATATCAACATTATATAGGACAGTCGATATTTTTATTTATAGAATAAACTATCACAACGCACGTATTAATTGTGGCTGAATTGTGCTGGAAAACGTGTTTCTAGAAAGACCTTTCTCATGTCATCCAACAATCCTGCGTCAGAAAATATCTTCTGATGCTCAATAAACTTCTCACAATCTCACCCGGATGGTCACCCAGCAATGGCCTCAAGTCGAGACTGGAGTTTTATCGTTTTTTGTTCATCCAAACGATTATGGGATAGGTCTATAAGATTATTAAGTCTACTAGTTAGTATTCCGCTGAAAACGGACATCTTGGGCTAGGCTTGGGCAATTGCCTCCCCACCCCCCCACATACTTCTCTTTGTAGAATGTGAAGACAATGTGTCACGCTTTCTCATATTTTTCTTCTTTTATGTTACATGATGACACGGAGGTCGGTAGTTCTTAAAACGAAACATATATATTCTGACTATTCTTAAACTTGTCAAGACAAGTTTTATCAMACTCCCCACCATCCATTTGAGGAGATCTACCCTTCAAAAGTTTTTCGTTCAAACTTTGCAAATGTCCCGATTTCATGTGCGGTTGTCTAGGGTAGCGGTGCCGACATGCCAATTGCTTAATTTCGAATAGCGGAAACTAATTTTAACCTTGCTCTGAAGCTTCATTTATTAATGTCAAAGTACTAATACAAAAGCTATATAAAGTAAAAAGTGTCAATCTTGTTATCACAATGTGCCAACGGACGGTTTTCAGTTTAATATTTTTTTAAGTACTATTTTAAAACCTTCCCTGGCAGCTGAAACGCTCGCATTTTAGATTTTGCTTGGGTCTTTTATTCGTTTAATTATCTCACGTACTTTTCTTTAATGTTTTTTTTTTTTTCATTTTTATGGCGGAAAACCAAGGCATCCTGCCGCTTTGAAGAGGGGTACTGTAATCAAAATTATTACAAAACACTAAGAAAAATGAGCAACACGGAAGTATATTATTTACACCTAAATTGAAATAGAACTCCCCTAAATTGAAGCAGTTTAGTTGCAATTTGCATACGAGTATAGAAGGGCTTGACCAATATGAAAAACAACTTTTCGTTCGGAAGATCTTTTGTATGGTTTTGAAAGAGTGGTTTTCACAACAAAATTCTACACTTTTACGCAGTGAAAATCTATAGAACTAAATTAACGGAAATTGCGTCAAGAATTACTCATGAAAAAGCTTGATGAATGGAAATAAGAATCCCTCGAACCAACTCGACTATCACTTGTTTTAAGTGTAAAAATATAGAACAATACGTTGAAACACCTGTATCTTCCAGCCATAGAGTGCCTCATTAAACAATGCTTCTGCAAGTCCCCTTGGGATAATGCCACATTTTTGAATTCATCGTTTTTGAAATGATAATTAACTTCGTACTATTTGCCACATATCGAATGAACTGAACAACTTTCAGAGGAGCAGAAACCTGCAGACGTATCACTTACAACAAGATACAAATTTCACCTCCGCGATGCAGAGAAGCCATAACAACTCCATATTCAAGTCCATGTTGTCTTCTACAGATAAAAGCCACCGCGAATCAGCTACTTTTAGTGAAGTTGTTGGTCAAGCCAAAGTCCTTGTGCTGTTCGTTTGCCTTGTTGTTTTGACATTTTTGACATTAGTTGGAAATACATTGGTCTGTCGAACTGTTTATTCAACACGACGATTCCATAAACCTGGATTTTATTTTGTTGTTAGTTTGTCGGTTGCAGATTTTTTAGTTGGATTGCTGGTAATGCCTGTTTCTACTGCTTATTACGTTACATTTGCCATGACGGGTAAGTCGTACTTTCCTGATAATTCCAGGAGTTTTACTGTTTTATGTATCACTTGTAAAATGTAACACTAAATAGATAAAAAATTGAGTGATGTTTTGGACATACTTCGCTAGCATGAATTTTAAATTCACAGACTCAACGAAAGAAAAATGATTTCTRAAAATTACACAAAATAGCTTCTAAAATCTTAAAGAGTAAGGTCGAATAATATATAATTGGCTCAAATTAAACGCTTCTGCGCGATCTTGATCAATGTACTCCATGACTAAGATCTCTGATATTTCTGGAGTACATAAATGCTTGATCTATTCTCGAGTGGCTCAATAGGTCTTGAAAATAACAAATCCCTCTCAATATCTGACAGAATCCTCGTAACTTTATGTCTGGCTCTAAATACTGACTTTCGTACAAGCCAATGAGAGACAATTTGTTGTTTAAGAATCGTCAACATTTGAGGTGGAATCTTAGAATGTTTGTGCCTAGAGTGGCTATTGTCTTACCAAARCAATAGAAAACKTTTTCATAAATGAATGGAGTTAATATCACGATCATTTATTGTATGTGTTTACTGCACGGTTTACTTATTGGTTATTAAGCTTCGATTCTCGTTTTTTTTTTTGAAAACAACAGAATCTGTGTGATCAAAGATAGTGTCTTTTCGTTAATGGCGATAACATTCATTGAAACGAAAAATCGAGGATATTACTTGGGCGCGCGGAGATATGGATTTTATCTCTCAAGAGTAAGTGAGCGCACTCGGAGATTTTCAACACGAAAAGAAAAAAATTCGTATCTCCAAGCGACCATGTAATATTCTGTTTATCATAATTATACATGAAAGCAAATTATGTCATAAAAATACCTTTTTTCTTACTTCCACTATATAGAGAAACCTCGAATGTGATATTTTCACAAGTGAAAATATCAACTTTATGAAATGGAGAAATATAGGTATTTCATAAATAATTATATGATAAATGGAAATATTACATGTAACTTATTAAAATATATAAGTTTTTGTTCGTAATTAGAATGAAATACAGAGTTAGACTTCGTGTCTCCGGCAAACGACGTCACAGAAACTCAGTGAAATTGAAAATACTTATCGGGATATCTTTTTCTATCCTGTTATGCATGTTTTTCTTCTTTTTTAATTCTTTTTTTTGTGTCAGCAGGAAAGCTTAAACAAGTTATTTTCAGGAGATCACTCATAGATTCATGAAAAACAAATACAAGGTTTGAAAAGTAAACATTTATCCGTCGATCAGTTGAGACTGTGTTTACAATTCTCTACAAATTATCTACGCCTAATTTGATAAGGGTTGTCATGGACACACTTGGATTTTTTGTTAACTTAATATTTACCACTCGTCGACCAATTAGATTCTTGATTTTCTAGAGTGGCTTTCATCGGACTGTGAAACAATTACTGTTAGTCAGTGTTTAGAGTGGTTTTCATAAACCCGTGAAACAAAATAGCCCATGAGGCGGAGTCCGCGAGGCCAAATGGGCTATTAGCTCGTAGTCCACGAGGCCGAKAGGTCTAATTGTTTTAGTATAAACATACTATCCTTAAAATAATTTATAATTTATTTATATTGATTTTCCCGCGAGTGGTCTATCACAAATTAGACCATTAGTAGAGTAGCCAATCACAGCGCAGTATGAGTGATAGACCATTAGTAGAGTAGCCAATCACAGCGCAGTATGAGTGATAGACCATTAGTATGTTTATACTAAAGTGTAATAGTCAGATGACAACAAAAGAAAACAATGGTATTAGGGTTACTAAAGTGTATTAAACTAAAGTGTATTTCACGGGTTTATAAAAACCACTCTAATAGTGTTTAATAGTTGTATTCTAATAAAAGAAAGCAATGGCTGTAGAGTCTACTAGCGTCTATTAGCTCAGGAACTATTTCACAGTCCGATAAAAATCACTCGTCTATTATTTTTTGGTTAAGTTCTATTGCATTTATTATCGTTTCAATCGCCTATAAAATGTTGGTACTGTTATTAATTCGCTCAAGTAAACAAGAACAATAAAAAGACGTGGGCGACTGAGAAAATTATATGAACACTACGCATTATTATCTATATAATCACCACCGAATCGCACAAAAACACGCATTTTTGCATTGTTGCTTAATAAAAATTTAACTAGGTTTACACTACCATTTTTCTTTGTGACAAGCCATCTTTTTTTCTTATAATCTTGTCAGTTATAACATTATAAGATTCAGCTGCTTCTGCTGCTTGACGCGTGCGACATGTTGAAGTGCCGTAAAATTACATGGTTTAAAGTGGTACCAATTCTTAAAAATATCTTTGAATAATAAGGATTAGAACAAAAACRTAATGAAACAATCAAAAACCCTCTCATTGAAAAATAATAATAAATAATAAAATAGCAACGAAAATGACAAACAACATCAAAGCAACAACACTGAGCAAAACAACAGCGACAAAACAAGAACATAGAAGAAGTACAAAGTTTTCAACGCTATGTTGGTTTCCAAAACGTTGTTTTTATTGAAACCAAAACCCAAAACGGTGTTTAACAGACTTTGGATAATTTAAACATATGGGATGATAAATTGAATACATTATATACACCCCGGGATATTGTCTTTGACTTTTAAGATCAAATTATCTTCCAGCGATCACTCCTACATGAATTAAGCGAACTCCTTGCCGATAATTCTCTGATTTATGACATTAGTGTTCCATCAAAGCTTTCTAGAAGCTTATTTGTTCATATTATGAGTTCAGTGAGCTTTCCTTGATTATTTTCTTGGTAAAATTGATTCCACATTGAGTTAAGTCAATTGATGTAAATTAGTGATATGGATGGTTTCACTAGATCCAAATGCCCTTTAATTTGTTTTTGTTTTTTGCTAAAATTGCTCGAAAAATTACACGTGTGCTTGTTTTTATGTATTTGCACCTGCCCGAACGCCCTACTCGAGTATTGTTAAATTTAACTGTATTCTATAAAATACTTTCTGCTTATCAAAAACCTTGACAATTTTCCAGCGCTCTTGAAAATAAACAAGCGCCATTCTGCTCTCTTTGCTCACAGAATCAGTCAGTGCCGTGGGTAAACAAGGGCAAACTTTAATTAATCATAGATTAGAGAAAGAAGATATTCGTTTATAACCAACTCCAGATTAGATCAAAATGTCGAGATATAACTCTTGCTTTATCATATAATTATCGATGAAATACCTATATTTTGTTCATATTTAAGTTGATATTTTCTCTAGTTAAAATAGCACATTCAAGGTTTCTCTATATAGTGGAAGTAAGAAAAAAGGTGTTTAACGACATAATTTTCTTTCATATTTAATTTTATGATAAACAGAAAATTGATAAACAGAACATGATCGCTTGGAGATACGAATTTTATCTCCTCGTGTTGAAAACCTCCGAGTGCGCTCGCTCGTGAGAGATCGTTTCAACACTCGAAAATAAAATCCATATCTCCGCGCGACCATGCAATATCCTCTATTTACTGCATAATTTCTGTTCTTTAGAACTGCAAACCAATCTAAGTATAAAGGTCGCTTTAAAGAGAAAAAAATACAGATAAAGCAGACCTAAATAATCTTTGAAACCAATATTACTAACTACTTCTAAATAGTATTAAAATGAGAAAATAGAAAACAAAATAATTAGCATAATTTAGCACTATTTAAATATAGTGGTTAAGTTTACTGATTTCAGTGAAGTGCGTCGGCTCCGCATATATATATGAATTGAGCACTTGAAAGTGACGTCACAGGAAAAATTTGCGTAATTTAAGTCATTTGAAGTGCGAATTTAAGTCATTTGAAGTGCGAATTTCAGTTATTGAGATCTCGCAACAACGGCTTTAGAGAAGGAAAAGATTTTACACTGTTACGTCGTCAATAATCCATTATTTCAAACTGAAACTATGAACCACAGCCAAATTAGGTAAAAAAGTATGCACATTTCCTCTGAAGCCAAAAATACAACAACTATGAGCTCCTTCAAAGAAGCAAGTCTTACCGAAGCCTTAAGTATGCCCGATTGCCTGGCTATTACTATATTTCTTATAATTCAAATGTTACTAACGACCTTTGGCAACGTGCTGGTTTTAAGGACCGTGCTCGCGACAAGAAGGTTTCATTTTGGTGGCTATTATTTCGTAGCCAGTCTGGCCGCAGCTGACCTTCTAGTTGGGTTGTTTGTTATTCCCATATCTCTCTTGTACAGTATTTCGTTCAAAATGAAAGGTAGGATATATTAACTGTAAATTACATGACGAAAGTCACTAAGTAAAATAGAAAAAGGATACAAACTATTGTTAATAAACATTATGTAAACATAAAGAAATCAGTCGAGTGAAGCAAACATTACTAACCTAACTTGGACTTAAAATGCATTGCATTTCATGGCATATATTTTTATTATTGGCTTTTAACAGAAAATATATCAGTGCTGAGGCTGTTAATAACCCTCTAATGAATTAATAATTTTTGATAAAGCCAGCTATGTGGCTATATGTTCAGAAATTGAAACGCTCAATATAGTTCACCTGCGCCAGAAATTCATCAAATCGAATAGCTAATGAAGTTCTAAACACCTTTGAAGACATCATCAGAAAGTGTTTTAAATAAAAACATCACCATTAAGATTTGTCATTTGCTCGCCCTTTCAAAAACAGATACCATAGGTCTTTCTTGGAAGCTTTTAAAGTGCATTATCTCACATTAAGCTTTTGGGAACGTTTCCATAAGGTGTCATGCCCCATTGCTCAGCCCTACCTTTGCTCTTAAGTACTGTTTATAGATAATAAAAAAAAGTTCGTTTGTCGCTGAACCTTTTGTCTCAAAATGAGATGTATTAGTATAATAAAGCTAAAAGTTTTATAAATTGTTTTTCTATAAACATTCAAAGTGAATTTTTCTTTACAACTTTTGTACAAAGTAATACAATAAAAGCTGGGTATAACTTCTTTCAAAAAGTAAATATTATTTGCGTTCGATTCATTACCGCAAGGTATTTGAACTTTCAAAACGTCTTTCGCGAAAAACGCGAAAAAATGCAGGGAATTAGCTCACTGTATGGTAAATAAGGTCTTTGCCGGGGGACGATATCAGTTTAATTTAAGTATTAATTGAAATACAACAAGATTCGTGCGCGATATCATAACGAGTGGCCAAATCTATAATATTCTAGTCACCCGACGAGAAAGTTTACCCGCATGGCTGAGATATGAGTGGAAAAAGGTCATCAAGTCAAAATAGGTTAATAAATTAAATGGCGGTATGGCATAAAGTGTTTTTGAGATAACTCTTGGGAATAAAAATAATAACAGTTTGAATAATATATCCTTGAAAACTTCACGTATGCCTTAGGCAGTCATCAACAGTTTCTGAAACAAACGTTTCAAGTTCACTATAAGAGGTCGGGACTAGTTGTACGTGCCGGCATGAATAAGTACTGTATTTAAATCACAAAACATCGCGTTGGTTTTCCTCTCTTCTTGTTTTGACTGAAAAGTAAACCTACAAGCATTGTGTAGGCCAGTTTTTTTAAAGCCAGATTTTTTTTCTTTTTTTCTAAAGAAAAAGAAGAAGAAAAATAAAATTAACCCTGTTAAAAAGTGACGCATTTGAAACTTGTAAACTTCCGTTCATTTCAAGATCAATTTTTTTTAACATCCATACGAGCCTTGACAAAAATAGATTTTGTCAAATTCTGGAAGTAGTATTTTAGGAGAAAGTTAAAACGGCTTGCGGCAGTAAGCAATAGAAAACAAAAGACTATAGACGAGAGATCGGTTTCCATCGCATCCGTTGCTAATAAAATCGTTTTTTTTTCGCATAACCTAGGAACAGCTACAAAAGACTAGATAACAACTTGAGTTTTATTTAAAATTAGCGTCACGAGAATGCATGTTTTCATTTACATCTTTTATCGTTCTCACTCAAATGCGAGCTCGCGAAACGTTTAGGTTTTTGTTGATTTGCTCCGAGGAAACTCAACTTATTTGTAATTATGAAAATATATTGAATGAAAGTTGTGGTATGTCCTCTTATTTACCACGCACGGCTTCATCGAATCGTCAAAATTGTTGTTTATCCAAGAATTAAATTGATTCGTTGACAATAAACCCGTGAAACGCTTACTAAAATCTGTGAAACAGAAGAAAAAACAATCAAAATACTGTCTATAGTCTATCAACTATCTCGTGAGGCATGTCGGTCCTAAAGTATCATACTAGAAAAATGATGGTCGCGTTCAAAGCAATACAGTATAAGCGATATATTTCTACCGGATTTTAAATCTTTATCACAGCAAGACAGACTAATAATGTACTAGTCGGTAGTCAATCATTAGTGCCTAAATAACGTCGACATTATTATTCCTGAGACTTTCTTCAATTTGTCTGTACTCTAAGCTCTCTAAAGTGTCGGATATGGCTCTAGTTTGATGATTAAGTATGAAAAACATCAATTCTTGAGTTGCACGTTATGGTTAGCGCCATATTGGATGAAAATCACTCCCTTGTTATTTCATTCAACATGGCGGCCATCACTTTTTTTTCTTTTCTCGGAGGTTCTTGGTCATGTGGTTGTAATCCAAGAATATTGTTTCATAAAATTCGACACACTGGATGGCAATAAGAATGAATACTAAAATTAAAATAATCTTTAGTCAACCAAGATATTTATATTTAATTTACGATAGACATTAAGCAACTTCAAAAGAAATAAAAACTACCCTCTCCTCACTCCTTGGCTGACTAAGATTATTTATATAAAAATACACATTCYTCTGTCATCCAACATGGCGCTTTCTTGCACTCCCCATGTCACCGATTACTGCAAAAACATAAGTTTTTTTTGACGATTTGTGAAAAGCTGTATCTGATTTTTAAAATTAACTGAGATACAACAGTTAATAAGGTATCATGGGAACTTTCATGTTAGTGACTTTCGCACTTTTCTCTCTCAATAGAATTAAAAAATATATATGTTTCATATATTCTTCACACCTATTAGTATTGTTTGAAAATATAGTTAATCGACTTATTATAGGTAAAAGTCTAGATATAAGTGAACTCATATTTTTGAGTAAACACAAGATGGAATGGCATTGTGCTATACTACGGGCATCGGCTATCCCTTCATAACGGCAAATTTTGAGTTCCCTGCGAATTAAAACCCYAAATCKTTAATACGACCGCTTTTATGTGTTTCTTTGGAGGCCGKATTACAGTCAAAAGACATGAAGTGAGCTAAAATCTAATTTCAAACTTCGAAATTTGATTGGAGATTATAAATGGATTTTCATAAACCTTCAGCCAAAAGCTTTCTTTCGTTCGCTGGCAATCATGATGGGCTTTTATGATTTAAAACTCGATGCATTGAAATATATTGTATGTTACYTTGGTGGGTGAGAAATGAATGACGATCCCAAACAGCTGTATTATAAAATGCCATGTTATTTCTTAACGGAGCTCGTTGATATTTCCAAACCACGTGATATTTCGTTTTTAGAGTAACCTTGATTCGCGGGTTTCCTGTGTAGTCAATTATCCAATCATCCAATTTCGAGATTTWAATTTAATTTTGCATAAATCAGCTGAAGTTTGAAAACGAAAAATTCAATGAAAAATYCAATAATGMATTGAATAATGAAGTCTTCATATATTTTGACTATAATGAGGTTCAATTGTTTCAGTTCAATGTTTGTTGTTTCTAGGGAAGTGGATATTTGGAATAGCTCTCTGCGATGCATGGTCCCTCGCAAACTTGTGGTTCTGCATTGCATCAATTTTCAGCCTCTGYGCAGTCACGTGGGATCGCTACGTAGCTATAAAGTCACCTCTCCATTATAGTCTACGCATGCGCACTAAGCAAGTCACAAGACTGATCGTTGCTATATGGCTGACGTCTTTTATCGCTGCCCTCCTCAACTGCTACGGACTTAAAACCTCGCCAACACGGATTTTATGCGAGGTACAAGGCATACCGCTACAGTACACGATTCTTGACTTCATTCTTGTCTATCTGTTCCCTTTAACAACAATTGTGTTTGTGAACATATTTATCGCTAAAGCCGTTTCCGGACAATTGAAACGCGTTCAGCAGCAGTATATTCCTCGCTCTATCAACGACGTTGTCGAAATGGGCCAAATTTCTAACACAGATTTTGCCTCCAATCCACCAAATGTTAGAGCTCCTGGATTTAATTTGGGAAAAGAACGAAATATTAAACACGAAATCAAAACATTTCGCACATTTTTGATTGTAACGGGATCATTCTTTGTCAGTTGGTCGCCATTTTTCTTCATTCTTTTGGTAGACCCGATTTCTAAGGTCGATGGGAACATAATGTACATTTGTGTGATACTTACTTATATCAACAGTGCGTCTAACCCACTGGTTTATGGTATTTTTAATAGAGACTTCAGGCAGGCAATGCTTGCAAGTTTTAAAAATTGCCGATGTACAATTATTCAATGATTTGGGCTTCCTGTGTCAAGTATGACCGAGCTGAAGAGTGGACTAAATCGACTGGCACAAAAAAAGTGCTTAGCAACTGAGCTTTTCTCTAAAACTAATTCTCCTTGTATGCTATCTTTCTTTGAAAACTGACCAAACTGGTGACTAAAAGGGGTAGGGRTGGGAGTGGAAAATCCCCCTCCCCCTCCCCCCCAGTTAACACAAATTTAGGAACTTCAAGGCTATTATAGCTAGTAAATTTGCTGAGTTTTGGACTCAAAACTACTACTAATCTGTTAACAAATATGGAAAATGATACAGTTCGGATCCACATAATGCTTCAATGCCAACAAACTATAAATGGACATGGTCCACCGGCATCCATTTTCAAGCTTTTGCCCTTGTTTGAAAAAAAAAAAAAAATCTGTAATATAAGCAAAGACGTACTCTTTATTATCCCTTTATACTTAATATGCGAGATTTGACCTTTAATCCCATCAATGGAAACGGATTGCAAATGGATATTCGAAGTCACCTTATTTTCCATATAAGAAAAATCTAAAACAGGACCACATTGAATTCTGGTGGACCATGTCCGGTTAAAAGAAAACATTATATTTCTTTGTAACTGATTAATCTGTAAGCTTTTAAGGTGATTTTATGTATCTCATAATTGASAGTATAGATTGGAGGGGCAGTTGTCCCCCAAATTATACATGCCCTTGSAAACAATAAATCTTTCTCAGTCTCTGATTGTCTATTTTACCACTGGACTWTCGGRTCCCTGAATRGAGGACTGAAAACATTAGATGAAAAGTGAAAACTTGGGGGGTAACTCCCTCTGCCAACCCCCCCAGAGTCCCATCTGCCCAGTCTTTTTCTGTATRAACCAGCAATGAACATAAAATGCTGAAGGCAGCTAGTATGCTTGTTTTCTTTTTTAGCAACAATTTAAAGACATTTAAATTGTACTATATAACTAGTAATTATATGCATCAGTCAGTTGAAACTACGGCCCCCAACCAAAGGGGAATAACATGAGAATTAGCATTTTAAAAATGAAGTTGTCATGGTATTTTTGAGCTCTTCAAGAACAAGCAATATAATGCTATAAAAAAAGATAAGAAGACGGCAAAGGGTCCAATAACAAATTTTAAATTTTCTTTGGTTTAGATGTTAAATCTTCCACCTCTAGCTCCATAACATTATGAATTTTAATACAATTCCAATCACTGTTATTCTGGGATGGAGGGCAGTGGTTTCAATTGATTTACGTATTTTAAAATGTAAATTATGTAAATGATGACAAGAAAAAAAAAATCTATTTCTATGTGAAAAATATTAAAATAAAGATAATAAAGAAAATGCACAGTGAAACGCGTAGAATCAGTAAATTTGGACCAGGTTACTTTTTTAAATAACCTTGTTAATAAAAGACACCAAAAATTCTGTAACTGATTTAGTCAGTCCAATCTAGATCTTCATATCGGATACGTTCTATACCCGGGTTCTATATCCTAATTTTTAAGTCATTATTTTTTCGGTAAAATTGGAAGAAAGCCCTTACGTAAATAAACATCTTCTTACCTTAATTATAGAAGAAAGTTCAGGTATTTTCATTCACTTCCTGGCTTTTTTTGAGCTCGGATTTGATCAAAACTTAAACTTACATCCATCGTAGTAAATGAGCAAGGAAGCCATATTACTTTGGAGCCTAGCCCCCAAAGGAAGCCCATCTATTACAGAATTMTAGTCAAGCAAAATGGCGGAKGACAAAATGACAAGYAGKTCACAAATTTGGCATKTTTGCTTGAAAAGCGCCTCCGGAATAATGCCAGACGTACAAAATAGATAGCAGAAAWGGGCACCATGACTTCAAAGAAGGTAAGCACGTCTTAATATGGAATATACGGCACAATTTTTAATTGATATTTGAATCAAAACCTCATAATMTYAGTTCGATCAAACTTTTTGATTTGGGAATTGACACTACCTCAGTTTATTCAGGTCCTCGTGGCTATACAGACATAAGCTCATGTTAATAATTGGTGGGAAACAATAATCGAATGATCGTCATCCTCTATTATTCTGATGGTTCCAGTACATRTATTGCAATTAAATTGCAATTTGAATTGAATTTGCTGATGTGAATCACACCATTTCGATCGGTTCTTTGCGAACACTAAGCTTTATATATTTCAATATATTGCACAAATTAGCCGAAGAGTCTACACAATTTCAATGATTTACTGCCTTGCACTCTACTACATCTGTACTAGTTTATAAATAGTATTGGCGTAGATTCCTGTAAGTGTAAGCAAATTATGTATGAATCGAATCGTACATGTCACATCCCCACCCCCACCCTTTGTCACTGAATTTGTTGTACAACAAATTCAGTGACAAAGGGTGGGGGTGGGGATGTGACATTTGCATTTGACTCGTACATTCTACTCATGCGCAACCTACCAAATGAGAAGTTTAGATAAAATTCATGCTTCTGAGGATCGATTGCCGGTCTGACCACTAGCTGACATTGAATTTGTTCCGATTATTTTAAATTCAGTTCCTCAGCCAAGTTTGTTATATAGCCCCTCTCGCCAGTTGGAATTCTCATCTACTTTTTTTTATATTTGTGCTTTTGAGTTTATTTTTTATAGGCGCACTTGATCATATCTACATGCTATTTTGCGCCATATAAGTGATTAATGGGCGTGCCGAGATAGGGATTCTATGTTCGAGTGTTGAAAAGATCTCTCACGAGTGAGCGTAGCGATTTAGAGATTTTCAACACAGAAGATAAAATCCTTATCTCCAAGCGACCATGTAATATTTTGTTCATCATATAATTATATGAAAACATATATTTTCGTGTGGAGGAAAATATAAAAATGCTTTAAAAATAAATCTTTATTCATAAAAAAGTTATTACCGCGCACCRCGCTAACTGTTCATTGACTCCGTCGTGAGAAAAATGCAAGTGCTGAGCCTGTGCGCCCTGTGGCATTCGTCTGTACACAAATGACGCTAAAATGAACAATTAATAAGACCCAAAAAAAAAAAAAACGCCATGAGACGAAGTCATTGCTGTTTTATTGGCCGCGTAACACTRGCGGTTTTTTGTCGTGAAACTTTCTCGCGAAAAAAAACTTGATCAAGTGGTGTAATTTCATTGAAGCGGTCGAAAGAAAAYACACAGCAGATTGAGCGCAGTCGTTCTAACCAATCAGAAAGCAYACAAGATTATACGGCGTCATCCGTTCGTGTAACATGCATGGTTATCGAGGATCAATCCAATAACACGTAATAAACCTAATATGATATAGAGAATATTACATGGACGCGCGGAGATACGGATTTTATCTTTGAGTGTTGAAAAGATCCCTCACGAGTGAGCGTACTCGGAGATTTTCAACACTTGAAGATAAAATTCGTATCTCCAAGCGAACATGTAATATTCTGTATATCATATAATTACATATGAAAGCAAATTATGTCTTAAAATAGCCTTTTTGTTATTACTTCGACTTTATAAAGAAACCTCGAATGTGTTATTTTCACTGAAATCTCGTACCCAGCGCCACTGTCCCTCTTACTCGCAGGCTCACAGGCTCGACGAAAAACACTGTTTTTTGTCGAGCATGCGCAGTAAGAGGGACAAGAGCGCTGGGCACGAGATTGTTTTCACTGGTAATGGAGAAATATAGGAACTTCAGAGATAATTATATGATAAATAAACGTATTATAAAAGTAACGAACTGTTTCTGACTAATTCATATAATCCAATCGAAMATTTATCCAAGAAGGACGTTCTCAGTTAAAGATACAGAAAGTCCCGTCTAGTACCCGAACCGTGCTGGTTATGCCACCCACTCTCCCTCGGGATGCGTTTTGTGCTGAAATATTTGAATTAAGAAATGCAGACAGAAAACAACTCTCGAAGACGAACAAAAGAGTGCTTCAGGGTGGAAAGAATAAGTTTTCGAAAGATAGAAGTATAATTAATTTGTGTATAATTATATTGTTAAGTTTAAGATAATATATTTCGTAACAAACGTTAGCATGTTTTTTCATCTCTTGATTTTGTTTTGACATTGGCACTTGATTTTGGGAAGGTAGTGTCGCATGGACTCGTCGTCTCTCTTAAATAGCCGACTTGCGAATTACGCATCAATAGTCACATACAAAGGAATCAAGACGAGGCGCCGTGCTTTTTTATGAAAAATCTATTGTCTTTAGCACGGCGCCTCGTCTTGATTCCTTTGTATGTGACTATTGATGCGTAATTCGCAAGTCGGCTATTACACTTGAGTTTCAGCTGGAGGCCGTTGTGTTATCTATGTCATTAAGAACTTTTTCATGTGATTCAAAATAGTTTCTATTGCTCTAACACTGATTATATGTAATTCACATCAAGATTKTTTATTTATTTACTTATTTTCGCAATATCCACTGAATTCGCGAACCATCTTTCTTGAAACAGGTGTTATACAGTTAAACTAAATCTTTMTGTCCAGCAAATGTGTTTGTAGACTTTATTTTTTACTGACTGCTTTTTAAATTCTATGTGTTTKAAAAATAAGYAAATCAAGCCCAATCTCATCTGTTTCTGCCGTTTGTCATTAAGTTCGAACTCGGTTCGTGTGGAGTAACGATGTTTTGAGTAGGAYCTCMTCACCCCCATGTACACTGTTATTAGRAATTGATATAACTTCAAARGAATATAACTCAAATAACTAAATTTTGAGCAATGTTTGAGTAATTTTGACTTKGTTTCCGATTTGATTTAAATCTCTGGRAGTCGAGAAACTTCTCACATTGCATAGAAAAAGTTATTACCCCAGCCGGTAAAGTATAACTTTAACTCCCTCGGTGGAGTTATTTCAACTTGAAAATTACAGTGTCGGCAGTATCCCTTGGAAAATGAATGTATAGAATTATTAATCCGGATGTAATTATCACCCGTTATATGAAAACAGAGATTTTTGTTTTACTTTGCTTGTTTCTTTACTTCATGGACTATTATAGGTCGGGTTTCATTGATCCCATTGACAAGAATTTGTTTTTTTATTCCGTGCGAGAAAAAAATTGAAAGGTGAGCAATAACGGGAATACTCCGCTGCGAACTCGAACTTTATAATTAAACGTTTTCTTTGGAATATTTATATTTTTTTCACAAACTACAGATACTTTGAAAATCTGTTATGAAAATAGACATCTATAGTACACTGTGGAGGAGAGATCTCAGCATGCTAAACGCTATTGCTTAAAGTAAACAATCTTTCTTAGAGTTTTTTTACTATTTTTATATGACGAAATTATTATTAGATTCACCGACGCAGACCTCTCTAGAATAGAGTTACTGTAAAACCTAGATGTTTCTAAGTCAGTCTTAAAAGGTTCTTAGTATAAATAATGCTTAA